GGGTGATTGTACCTGTTGTGTCGGTAGTGGAATACAGTCCACTTAGTATATACATAGTAGAGTACAGTTCACAGTTGAGATAGTGGGTGATTGTACCTGTTGTGTCGGAAGTGGAATACAGCCCATTTAGTATATACATAGTAGAGTACAGTTCACAGTTGAAGCAGTGGGTGATTGTACCTGTTGTGTCGGTAGTGGAATACAGCCCACTCAGTCTAGGTAGTATTTTACACTTTGAGTATCTAGAAAAATTAAGGAAGTAATACATACTATCTCAATTATCAGTGGAGAATATTACACTAAGTTGTGTAACAGGAAAGAGAAAAGTGTGCTTCCACTGGGGATCGAACCCTCGTTCTCCAGGTTCCTTGTCGGACGCTCTACCACTGAGCTAAAGGGAAGCTAGAAGGCGACCTTAATCCTTTGTACAATTGAACCCTGCCACAGTTGTTCGATCTTGTTTTTTATCCATTTGTCAGTGTACTATAAAACATGTTTAAATCATTAGTTTACTTTACATTACCAAAATGTTTATCTGTTTGATTGCAGAAACAACAAAGTCAACAGTCAGAGGTCAAACCTCAAGATCGGAGATCATCTCTACACAAGCCTTGGAAGACGCCAAGGAAGTGATCAGAAAGAACGGCATGGTCATCATCAAGGACGCCTCCGGGGACGGAAAGACAATGATGTGCTACCAGCTGTTGAAGTGGCTAATGGATGGCGATAATAAGGATACTGGACTGTCAAAAGATCCGTTACAGCTTTACAGCATGTCTAAATGGGATAAAATTGTCCAGCCAGAAGCACAGATAGCTTTATTTATTGATGATGTCAGTGAGGATATTGTTGAAGAATTGAAGAGAAGGAAAGACTCTATACAGTCAGCATTTTGTGGCACACTAAATAGTAGATCAAATTGTTTGATCCTCAATGTTCGAGATGAAATTTTCAAAAGCACACAAATGTCCTCATGTGAACTATTTAATGACGAAAATGCCATTGATTTGAGAGGTAAAAACCTCATGACAAGTGAAGAAAAGCTGCAGATTTTAGAAAAGTATGTCCCAAAAATTAAAGTTTTATCTGGTGGAAAGGAATCAAAATTTGTTAAACTTGCCCCGAAAATTGGGTTTCCACAATGCTGCAGACTGTATAGAGATGTTCCTAGCTTACAAAATGAAGGGGTTGATTTCTTCAAAAGTCCAGTCTATTTCATGGAAAAAACTTTGAAGAAATTACCGAAGGAATGCTTTGCTTCTCTTCTATTTCTCTTCCTCAATGATGGGAGGGTAAAGAAAGGAGACTTAGATCCTAACAGTGAAAATGTTGACAAGAAAAAGCTAGAGATAGCTTTCCCTGGCAATGCACTAAGTCATGAAGACAAAATCAGATTGTTACGTGGAAGTTTAGATCAAATGTTAGGATCTCTGGTTGCAAAAACGAAAAACAGCTTTTTGTATGATGATTCTGATGATGTACTAGATTCTGATGATGATGATGATGATGATGATGTATTTTACAAATTTTCTCATGATTCTGTTCAGGACACTGTTGCCCTTTTGTATGGCAATGACACCAAAATTGGGTTCATAGAGAATTGTCCAAGAAAGTTTCTACGTTATATATCGACATTAAAAAACATTCCAAACAGAATAGTTATATCATCTTGTAATTATAAACACATGTATAAACGTTTACTTGGAGAGTTTGAATGTCACAGGTTTGAATATGTCTATTCGAGTTACTCTGACCAAGAAAGTGACTGGTTTTATAGTAAATATAGTAAATATCATTCTATAACTTCATTAGATGTTTGGACAGATATTCAGTTTCTGCAGGGATTTATCAGATGGTTAAGTGGTAAGAATGATGACAAAAACTTGTGCCATGAGATAAAGCTTGCCTTGTTGAATAGAGCATGTGCTTCTGGTTCAGAAGAATGTGCTTTATTCCTCCTGTCGGAGGGTGTGACACCTGACGTGGAGACACCGTTTTATGTGGTAGAGGGAGGGAGTGTGAGTGTGTTACGTAAACTACTGGAGTATGACGTCACTCAGACAGCGAGGTTACACATGTCACGATCACCACATATAGTCCTAGCTAGGAATATCAATGTCCTACAGGAGGCGTGTTTGTTTGAGAGCGAAGAGATGGTGACCATGCTGTATAACACGTACCCACACTTGGTACACGACACTGATCACAGGGGACAAAGCACGCTCCAACTTGGGGCACGGACAGGAAACTGTGATATATTTAAAACAGTGGAGAGAGTTGTACTTAAATCCTTGTATAGAGTTGAGTACGAACATCATAGGTGTGAGACAGTAGAAGGTCGTGTGGTGCACAGGAATTGTGTGTGTGCTCAGTACGTGTGTCAGTTAGTGACCAAGTACGGGGGGGAAACAGTGTTACATTATAGTTGTAGGAGGGGACACATGGAGGTTTGTAAATATCTGTGCGAGTCGTACCCAGCACTAACTACAGCGGTAGATATGTTCGGGGGGCAAACAGTGTTACATTATAGTTGTTTGGGGGGACACCTGGAGGTTTGTAAATATCTGTGCGAGTCGTACCCAGCACTAACTACAGCTGTAGATAAGTACAGGCAAACAGTGTTACATTCTAGTTGTAGGGGGGGACACATGGAGGTTTGTAAATATCTGTGTCAGTCTTACCCAGCACTAACTACAGCTGTAGATATGTTCGGGGGGCAAACAGTGTTACATTATAGTTGTTTGGGGGGACACATGGAGGTTTGTAAATATCTGTGTAAGTCGTACCCAGCACTAACTACAGCTGTAAATAATGACGGGCAAACAGTGCTACATTCTAGTTTTAGGGGGGGACACATGGAGGTTTGTAAATATCTGTGCGAGTCGTACCCAGCACTAACTACAGCTGTAAATAATGACGGGCAAACAGTGTTACATTCTAGTTGTAGGGGGGGACACATGGAGGTTTGTAAATATCTGTGCGAGTCGTACCCAGCACTAACTACAGCTGTAGATAATGACGGGCAAACAGTGTTACATTCTAGTTGTAGGGGGGGACACATGGAGGTTTGTAAATATCTGTGCGAGTCGTACCCAGCACTAACTACAGCTGTAGATAATGACGGGCAAACAGTGTTACATTCTAGTTGTAGGGGGGGACACATGGAGGTTTGTAAATATCTGTGCGAGTCGTACCCAGCACTAACTACAGCTGTAGATATGTTCGGGGGGCAAACAGTGTTACATTATAGTTGTTTGGGGGGACACATGGAGGTTTGTAAATATCTGTGCGAGTCGTACCCAGCACTAACTACAGCTGTAAATAATGACGGGCAAACAGTGTTACATTCTAGTTGTAGGGAGGGACACATGGAGGTTTGTAAATATCTGTGTGAGTCGTACCCAGCACTAACTACAGCTGTAGATAATAGAGGGTATCATTGTCTACATTATATAGCTAGGTGGACGTCAGATATAGACCTGTTCACCGAGTGTGAAATTCATGTAAAACAGTACATAGAATCTACAGGACGTAAGTATGACATCACAACCATACTAACCAATCAGGGAAGTTCTGTTTTAGACAAGGCAAAGGAACAGATAGAGGACTGGACCTGGGGAACAGTAAACAAGGCTCTGTATGAATATCTTGTCCCATTGTTTGGTCAACAAAAACACTAAATATTCACACAAAACAAGGTTAATTTTTATGAAATATTTTCATCACTTTTCAATGTTCACATGAAATAAAACCAAACAAGGTTTTTTTCGAAGTTTTTGTCAAAATTCGTTCTCGAGTCGCGTTTTTCTCGCCGATATCAGGGGGTGTCCTAAATCAGGTGCGAGTATAAAATGGACTGGTTGTGCTAAAAATAGACTGGTAGCTATATACAGAGAACTGGTATTTCAGGTCTTGACTATTCAGCAATGATGATTTTTTGTGTGTATTTATATGCTCTAGTAAATGCATTCAGTATTACAATAAAACAACAAATATACTGATTTTAGAATAATTTTAAAAGATTTGGTTTAAAGTTGATCATAAGGATGATATAGATACCATAAAAAAATCATATTATTTGAATTACAGGGCTGTAATTAATATAAAAGTAACCCCACATAAGTCTTCACACAGAAAATCATGATCATGTTATCAGAAGTACAGACCGTTTAAATATTTGTTTTGTAAATGTTAGAAAATGTATAAACAATATGATTTATTTAATACCGAAAAGGACTTTTAGAACACTAAAAGCACTAACAAATATTTTTTGTTATTTATAAGTGTTATAGCATTATGCCAAGAGTATTCACGATTTGCCAAAATTTCATCAAATTTTCGTTCATCTCTGTCTTAATTTGTAATTAGATTTTCTTGGAAGAAAGAAGGATATAACGACCCACATCTTGAAGTCTTCATTTTAGGCTCTTGTACAGATGTCATGTACATACCACCCTATATATATTTATTTGTATGCATATTGAGATGAATGTATCGTTATTTCATGTATAATGCTGATTTGTATACCTTTTGATCTACTTTATTTATAACTGTCACTGTAGGAATACTATTATTCACGTGTACCTTACCTTAGAGTAATTTTACAAATTATATAGGGCACTATTATAAATGTTGTAATATTATTGGAGCAGTTTTGTGCAACTGAAAAGAAATATGATCCCCTGATAGAAAATTAACTGATTATTTATCTGACAATATTTACACATTTTCCTATGGAATTAGTTGTAAGATATGGTGATTTATTCTTGGAAATTTAATTTTACTCACATTATTTTGTAACAAGAAAGTGTGTAACAAAATCTGTATTATTTTAATAACTTGTCAAACTTTGAAAACCAGTCAATACAAATGTATGATATTATATTTTTCAAATAATTATTTAGGAACATATCTTTTAGTTAGTAAAATTGTGTTTCAATAGCTTTATAATGAACCCCAGGAAATGACATCGAAGAAAACGTGGAAAAACGCATGAAATGGAGATGAATTTAGGCAAATCATGAATAATTATAGAAAAATGTTGCAAATGTCTGGTTTTCATTAAAAAAATCTGATAGAATTTTATTTCTTATGAAAAACGTCATTGCCAAAAGCCCTGTGTTGGTAGGTTTTGTGAACATGTTTTGTTAACATTTTATGTACTTGGAAGAAAAATGCTTTGCAAATATAAATGACCAGGGTTCTCAGTAGGTTTTGGCATAGGTGGTTGAAAAGTTAAAATAGCTGGTTGGGGGCCGAAGACCGCAGGCCGAGACTGGGAGAGTTTGATGTGCAGGTTTGCCCCCGTTTGAGCGGTCTCCCCCAGAAGATTTAAAACGTCATTGCCAAAAGGCTGTCTTGGTAGGTTTTGGCATAGGTGGTTGAAAAGTTAAAATAGCTGGTTAGGGGCTGAAGAACACCACGCCGAAGACCGCAGGCCGAGACTGGGTGAGTTTGATGTGCAGGTGCAAATTGCCCCCCTCTTGAAATTGTAGATGACTGTAGGTGGCATTTGAGCACTTTTGAGTGTTGTAATTAACCATTTCTCACCTGAAATTTGTGGGAAGTTTTTCATAAAAGTGTTTTTGAAACAATTGAAAAATATTCCTCATTTGCTTTATCTGCTGATGTTTCAAATTCAATGAGACTTGAAAACAAATCCATACATTACAACTATCAGTTTTGGATCTGTTTGCCAGTTTACAGTATTTTTTATATTCATGTTTCGAAATAAAACAAACAAGTTTCAACTTTATTTTACCAATTCCTCTTGGAAATGAATGAAATGTATTTGTAAGGAACACTAAAAGCACTAACAATTTTTGTAAGTGTTAAAAATCTAATCAAATTATATTTTCAAATTTTGTTTTTTAATTAAAAATGAATAAAAACTACAATTTACAAAATCAATTATGTGAAGATAATCCAATGAGTATATTTATTTAACATTGCCGTTATCTAAGGTTTTCTTTTGACTATTTTTGAAGTTTGCAATTAAATTATTGATCCTTGTTACGAGACACGCCTAATTATCATTTTGAAAGTTGCAATTTAACGAAAATCCACGAGACTGATAGGGTGTTCCTCGCGACTGATGACTTCACTTTCAAATCACAACGTGATTCAGAAGTTACTGACAGAAAAAATTGTTAACAGTTTAGATCGGATTAAAAGCAAATATGAACATCTGCCAATAACAGCGCCCAAATCACTAGTATTTCTGTTCTGGGCGACAACAAAGTCTATTATATTTTTTCTTTCTTTGACGGCTCCATTTCTCACCAATTTGATTCTATATCAATTAGACGTTTGTCAGTACTGTTGCCTTGGTATAATTCAAAGGCATTGGTGATCTTGCTGTTTTATGTAAACGATCGGGAATGAAAGTAGAAACTAAAAATAGACCCGGAAGTTCTGATTGATTCTGTCCAACTGGTTAAGTCAATATTGTTGTTTGCCGATATTGATCAAATCATCACGATATGGAAATGTCAATTCTGTAAAAAAACAAACACCGATATTTCTTAAAGAATAGCAGGTTGTAGACACGGAAATAGCCAGCTTTTAACGAGAACCCTGATGACAGTTATGACATCAATTTCATTATTTGCTCTGAAAGTCGCTCCAGATTGCTATGACATCAGGAACAGAATATGTTTTGCCTTCAGTTTTGTATGTAACCCATGTTAGATATTTTAGTATTTGAGTTTGCTCTGTTTTACATGACTTGTGTGACCTGTTGTATACGTAACCTGATCCAGTAAGTGTACACGTGTTCTGTGGAATGTGACCAAACCAGTCGGACGTGACGTTGACATGATGTATACCTAATAATGATATACATTGTATTACATTGTAACAATGTATGCCCACTCATGATGATATACATTGTATTACATTGTAATAATGTATACCCACTCATGATGATATACACTGTAATAATGTATGCCCACTCACAATGATATAGATTGTAATGTTATTTTTGATTGTTGTTAATTTATATTAGAGGCTGCTGATCTGTTGTTTGTTGACTTTTCATTTGAAAGAATAAATTATAAAAATTGAAGTACTGTATTAATTATTATTGACGGGTAAGTGCAGTCTTTGTCATCCATCTGTCCAAAGTCAAATATTTACTTAGAACAACTATACTGTTAAACTACGATGCCTAAGGTGATGGCATTAAGCAAGATAGGAAGCAGGCTTATCAATTTTATTGAAAAGAATGACCTGGACCCATTTGCAAGGTCAAGGGGTCAAATTTGATAAGACGGAGTGAGGCAGTGTTTGGCAATTAACATGTAGTAATGAGAGACTATCTACATTGATCAAATGAATGACCTAAAGAACTTTCAAGGTCAAAGGAGGTCAGTTTATTATAATATATACGCAACTTTGGAATATGCAAGCAACCTACTGTTCGCGAATAGCATACCCAAATATATTACCTTGACCCCCATTCCAAGGTCATGGAAATTGAACCACTTCTGAATGACCAAGAGGCCTAAAGTGATGGCATTTAGCACGTAACAAGCTGGGTCTAAATATTTTCAAGTTTTTGTCCTTTACTTCTGAAAAAAATCTAGTTTCAAGGTCACAAGGACCAAATCTACACAAATATTGAAAAAAGAAAAACATTTGAAATAAATTGTCTGATGAGATTTTGTTAGTTGCATGCTGAGATTAAATGGTGTTCATATAAATGACCTTGACTCATTTCCAAGGTTTCTGGAATCAAAGAGTGTAAAACTTAAACTAAATTCTTCTACACGTCGGCCCAGTTTCAAGGTCACGGTAGTGGTCAAATGTGTTAGAACATTAAAACAATGTCTTCTGAGAAGCATAGAATAATGAGTCATTATAGTTGGTCCTATTCTGTGAAGTGCTATGAAGAGTGGGATCTGAATCAACCGCCAACGCCATCTTGAAGGTCTGATTTCAGCACAATAACTTGAAATTTTCCAACTAACGTTCTTAGGTGAAGAGCATGAAATTATCATGTTTGTATCAATCTGACCTTGCCCCTCTTTGAAGGTCAAAGATAAGAGATGAAAGCCAAAAGAGCGATAGAGGAAATTTGACCTCTTTATCTTAGAGTAGAAAATCGTTGCTAACCAGTTTCTCGATATGTGTCATAAACATATTCTAACATGTATTTATAGATGTTGCATTAAACATTAAAGGATTGTACTACATAATACACTGGGGATATTAATGTATAGACTGAAACTGAAGTGCACTCTGAAGAAACCGAGAAGCACTTCAGTATTAGGTCTATACATCCAAAGACCAATCTATTATCTTGTCCAATCCTTATAAGAAATTGTGAAATTAGAAAACTGTTATTTCTTGAAATATGTGTCGTTTTCATTTCCAACAAAAAAATAATGTCTTTCTTCTTAATGGCGCTCTGATTTGTATGTTGATCAATCAAATGCCGTGTTTTAAATCCCCATGCGGCGCCAATGACACGCCAATCTAGGGGAGACGGAGACTCATTTACACCCGGTATAGATCTTCATCATCCGTTATAAAATCGAGTTATATTGCTCCATCTTTTTAAGAATTTTAAAGATACATGTATAATTTTTATCACACGGATATGTGTAGTGGAACTGGACTGTAGCCACCACCGGTACCCAGGTATCTCAGTTGGCGAGAGCGTCCGTCTAGAGTGTGGTGGTCCTTGGTTCGAAACCTAGTCTGGCATTTTTCCTCTCCTAACATTACACTTGTGGTAAAGAAATCCATCGAACAACCTTATGTAAATTATTGTCATTTGTATATAACTACAAACAACAAACATTTATTCGAATTGTGTGAAAAATCCCATAAATACTCTATATAGACCAAATATTTAGACATATGCAGACATATATACATAGACAACGATGACCATGACCAGTAAGAGACATCTTTATTGACTTCTGAATACAGGGTTGACGACAGTGTATGTAAGGGGAGGTAACCTCTTGAGTGAGAATTTTGGCCTTCGTAAAATTGTTTGTGTTTCCGTATGTCATACAAATAGTTGATATTTTAATCCAAAAAAAAAATACAAACAAGGAAGAACGTTTCACAATTTTATTATAATTGTCTGTTTTTCCCCTTGGCAGCTGTATTGCACATAAATAATATTGTACGGTATTGTTTTATTAATATCAGATAATTTAAATTTATCTATATATGTTTGTTTATTAATGACTTTTATACACAAATGGTGATGAGTATAAACAGATAAATATTTACATAAAAAGTTATGATATACAAACAACCTTTCCTCCATCAATCATCGATAAGACAAAACATATATATGTATTACACATGTACATTTACAGTTATTAAATGAATGAATACATGGAAATAAATTTTATCATTTATGTAATTTAAAAATTGCTGACATGTTTTGTATTATTTAAAACATGTTCAACATTTCTGTAGTGAGATTAGTAGACGGAGTAAATAATATTATAAAATATCTAACTTTATACCCAATACGTAGGAATTCTGAGGACAACCCAGGTACAATATGTTATCATAGTAAGATATACACTTAACGAGACTTGTTTTTCTTTCCGAATTTCTTTCTACAAAACAGCTGTTACAATTTAAGTCTACAAAACATATTTGTATAATTCACGAAATACATTGTAGTTGCCATGTACGACACTGTATAAGGTATTATCCTCTACCATACACATAGTAATATATTGTGTATCATGTATGACACTGTATAAGGTATTACCCTCTACCATACACATAGTAATATATTGTGTATCATGTATGACACTGTATAAGGTATTACCCTCTACCATACACATAGTAATATATTGTGTATCATGTATGACACTGTATAAGGTATTATCCTCTACCATACACATAGTAATATATTGTGTATCATGTACGACACTGTATAAGGTATTACCATCTACCATACACATAGTAATATGTAGGCCCATTACATATCTACCCTGTCGACATACCTACCATGCCCTGTATACGCCATATCTGGTCTGTAAGGTCATATCTACCCTGTACATGTTATATCTACTGTTGACATACCTTCCCTGACCTGTATACACCATATCTGGTCTGTAAGGTCATATCTATCCCGTACATGTCACATCTACTGTCGACATACCTTCCCTGACCTGTATACACCATATCTGGTCTGTAAGGCCATATCTACCCAGTACATGTCACATCTACTGTCGACATACCTTCCCTGGCCTGTATACACCATATCTGGTCTGTAAGGCCATATCTATCCCGTACATGTCACATCTACTGTTGACATACCTTCCCTGACCTGTATACACCATATCTGGTCTGTAAGGTCATATCTACCCCGTACATGTCACATCTACTGTCGACATACCTTCCCTGACCTGTATACACCATATCTGGTCTGTAAGGCCATATCTACCCAGTACATGTCACATCTACTGTCGACATACCTTCCCTGGCCTGTATACACCATATCTGGTCTGTAAGGCCATATCTATCCCGTACATGTCACATCTACTGTTGACATACCTTCCCTGACCTGTATACACCATATCTGGTCTGTAAGGTCATATCTACCCAGTACATGTCACATCTACTGTCGACATACCTTCCCTGACCTGTATACACCATATCTGGTCTGTAAGGCCATATCTTCCCTGTACGCGCCATATCTATCTACTACTGGTACAAATCATGCATCACCTGCTCCAGATCCATTACAGTCGAAATATATATAATATTTATCCTGTCTTTATTATATATTATTAGATGGTCAAGTTGCAAAATGGTCAGCACACTTGATTTCCACATTAAAATATATCGGGTCATCTAAGATGTCATAATCTTCCAATTTGTGAAATCAAGTTGAAGTATATTATCTACAAATCTCAAAGAGTGTATGTCTTATTAAAAAATATATATTCACCATGCAGATAGGATAACAAATTGTAAAAATGTGATAACAAAGTTACCTCCCTTTACTAATCATGGGGAGATAACTCTTCTATTCAGGTCCATGCTACAAGCAGGTGAGATAAAGATACTTGCACTAGAAGATGAACTACTGATGAAAATATCACCTTGGTTGATAGTATCTTATATCATTGAACATACAGTTCTATACAAGGACATGTGTATTAACTAATAGAAAATAACTGGAATAATAGGCAGTACTTCTGACGGGTATAAAAGTATAAATATGGAGTATAAAGTAGTCTGATGGCAGTATAATGTATTTTAATTAAACTTACAATAAAATAATGTAAAATTTTACAAATATGAGTTCTAACAACCTACTGGTCTGTATACACCTCTAGGTCGTTTATACAGGGTAGACCTATAGATGTTGTACCACTATACAGAGGGAAGTCGTTTATACAGGGTAGGTCTATAGATGTTGTACCACTATACAGAGGGAAGTCGTTTATAAGGGGTTGGTCTATAGATGGTGTACCACTATACAGAGGGAAGTCTTTTATACAGGGTAGGTCTATAGATGTTGTACCACTATACATAGGGAAGTCGTTTATACTGGGTTGGTATATAGATGTACCACTATACAGAGGGAAGTCGTTTATAAGGGGTTGGTCTATAGATGGTGTACCACTATAGAGAGGGAAGTCGTTTATACAGGGTAGGCCTATAGATGTTGTACCACTACACAGAGGGAAGTCGTTTAGACTGGGTAGGTCTATAAATGTACCACTATACAGAGGGAAGTCGTTTATAAGGGGTTGGGTCTATAGAGGGTGTACCACTATACAGAGGTCAGAGGGAAGTCGTTTATAAGGGGTTGGTCTATATATGTACCACTATACAGAGGGAAGTCGTTTATAAGCGGTAGCTGTATCGACAAAGAGCGTATAAACACACTGTACATGGAATAGCAGGAGAGGGGGCTAGATCTCCACCCTACTAGTAACCTATAACATACACTGTATATACGATCTCTATCGATAGGGGAAATGTCCCAGGTTGAGCAACATGAGAAATATGCAATGTCGTCACATTGTTATACAGGTAAACAATACTGTTCGCTCACTCAGTTTTAGCTTGACAAAGGGGCAAGTCGGTCTTGAAACGTTGCAACATATCTAACAGGTACATTGTTTGTGTATAAAGTAAAGTTTTGTTATAACCCTTTTTCATTGTCTGCTATTATCGACGACTAAAGGATAATAGTTAAACTTTCACATCCAATACATCATTGTGTTACACTGACCTCACTCACAACCACAGCCAATACAAAATCACTTTTGCATTTAGTTACAACTATTTCACAGGAAAAATATTTTGTGTTAATTGATGAGGAGAGCCGTGATATCGAGATATTTGGCATCATAATCATAATGGTTGTAATCAGGGCCCCGATGTTCAAGGCTGGTTGGCTTAATGATGACGCACACAAAAAAGTATCTTGTAAAAAATATTGAAATTCAACACTAAATTTATTTCTATGGAGATTCAAATTAAAAAATTTACTACCGGAAACAAAGGAAATATTTGTATATTTCAGATATTTCTCACATTCTGTGATTGTTTTTGTTAAAGATTTATATTTAGCTATTCAGACCTTCATCAGCTGGGCCGAGTTCTCTATTTCTCAACAAAAAACATTCATACATTATCATCCACCAGCAAATGTCCTCACAGATATTTGTATCATGCAGTGGTTGGTTGTTCGGAGGGCATCGTCAGGGCTGTAACCAGACAAATTGCTTATATTGTTTGTCAATGTGGAGACGAGGAGAGAGACCGACTCGGGAGACAGAATATTGGTCATGTGATGAAATTGGAGCCAATCAGGAGACAGCGTTAAAGCACTTGGAGGAAACAGGTTTATCTGCAAACAGAAAAACATGTATTACTGATTATAAAAATATACAAACTTACCAGGTAACACCTGATGTTTATTTTGTAATACATTGGATTAATGTAATCATTTCTCTATTGAACTACATCAATAAATACATACAAAGATATGCAGCAAGCATTGCTTTCTGGGAAAGGCACTCATATTCACAAACTTTAAATATATTTGATGAGTTCTACTGAAACAATCCCAGGTAATCCCTGTCAATGGACCACATTAGAATTAGTGAACAAAGTAATTGTTTGTATCCAATCCCAGGGAATCCCTGTTAATGGACAACATTAGAATTAGCGAACAAAGTTATTGTTTGTGTCCAATCCCAGGTAATCCCTGTCAATGGACAACATTAGAATTAGGGAACAAAGTTATTGTTTGTGTCCAATCCCAGGTAATCCCTGTCAATGGATAACATTAGAATTAGGGAACAAAGTAATTGTTTGTGTCCAATCCCAGGTTATCCCTGTTAATGGACAACATTATAATAAGGGAACAAAGTTATTGTTTGTGTCTAATCCCAGGTAATCTCTGTTAATGGACAACATTAGAATTAGCGAACAAAGTTATTGTTTGTGTCCAATCCCAGGTAATCCCTGTCAATGGACAACATTAGAATTAGGGAACAAAGTTATTGTTTGTGTCCAATCCCAGGTAATCCCTGTCAATGGACAACATTATAATAAGGGAACAAAGTTATTGTTTGTATCCAATCCCAGGTAATCCCTGTTAATGGACAACATTAGAATTAGCGAACAAAGTTATTGTTTGTATCCAATCCTGGGTAATCCCTGTTAATGGACAATGTAAGAATCAGGGAACAACGTTATTGTCTGTATCCAATCCCAGGTAATCCCTGTTAATGGACAACATTAGAATTTGGGAACAAAGTTATTGTTTGTATCCAATCCTGGGTAATCCCTGTTAATGGACAATATAAGAATCAGGGAACAACGTTATTGTCTGTATCCAATCCCAGGTAATCCCTGTTAATGGACAACATTAGAATTTGGGAACAAAGTTATTGTTTGTATCCAATCCTGGGTAATCCCTGTTAATGGACAATATAAGAATCAGGGAACAAAGTTATTGTTTGTATCCAATCCCAGGTAATCCCTGTCAATGGACAACATGAGAATTAGGGAACAAAGTTATTGTTTGTATCCAATCTCAGGTAATCCCTGTTAATGGACAATATTAGAATTAGGGAACAAAGTTATTGTTTGTATCCAATACCAGGTAATCCCTGTTAATGGACCACATTAGAATTAGGGAACAAAGTTATTGTTTGTGTCAACTAACATTGATAAAAACATAACAAGATGAACTCCAGGTGAAACAGTATAGGAAACATGTCATAGTGACTCCTCTGCCATCCCAAGAAGTACCTCCATACCATATATGGTAATTACAAGTGAAAGAGATATAACTATGACACAATTTCAATTATTGAGGTCAGAGGTCAAAAGACAGGTCATACTGACCGAGAGTTTGTACAACACATCTCTACCATCCCAACATGTTGTATACCACATATGTTAAACTACAAAACTACAGATATAACAGTATACCACTTTAGTAAACTACAGATATACCAGTATAGCATATATGTAAAACTACAGATATACCAGTATAACATATATGTTAAACTACAGATATAACAATATAGCATCTATGGTAAAACTACAGATATAACAGTATACCACATATGGTAAAACTACAGATATACCAGTATACCACATATGTTAAACTACAGATATACCAGTATACCACATATGTCAAACTACAGATATACCAGTATACCACATATGGTAAACTACAGATATAACAGTATACCACATATGGTAAAACTACATATATAACAGTATACCATATATGGTAAAAATACAGATATAACAGTATACCATATATGATAAAACTATAGATATAACAGTATACCATATCTGGCAAAACTACAGATATAACAGTATACCATATATGGTAAAACTACAGATATAACAGTATACCACATATGTTAAGCTACAGATATAACAGTATACCACATATGGTTAAACTACGGATATAACAGTATACCACATATGGTAAAACTACAGATATAACAGTATAGCACATGTGGTAAAACTATAGATATAACAGTATACCACATATCGTAAAACTACAGATATAACAGCATACCACATATGGTAAAACTAGAGATATAACAGTATATCACATATGGTAAAACTAGAGATATAACAGTATACTATACCACATATCGTAAAACTACAGGTATAACAGTATACCATATATGGTAAACTGTTATATCTGTATTTTTACCATATGTGGTAAACTGTTATATCTGTATTTTAACCATATATGTTATACTGTTATATCTATAGTTTTACGACATGTGCTATACTGTTATATCCGTAGTTTTACCATATATGGTAAAACTACAGATATAACAGTATACCACATAAGATAAACTACAGATATAACAGTATACCACATATGGTAAAACTACAGATATACCAATATAGCATATATGGTAAAACTACAGATATAACAGTATACCACATATGGTTAAACTACAGATATAACAGTATACCACATATATGGTAAAACTACAGATATAACAGTATACCACATATGGTAAAACTACAGATATAACAGTATACCACATATGTTAAACTACAGAGATACCAGTATACCATATATGTTAAACTACAGATATACCAGTATACCACATATGGTAAACTACAGTTATAACAGTATACCACATATGGTAAAACTACATATATAACAGTATACCATATATGGTAAAACTACAGATATACCAGTATACCACATATGGTAAACTACAGATATAACAGTATACCACATATGTTAAACTACAGATATAACAGTATACCACATATGGTAAAACTACAGATATAACAGTATACCACATATGGTAAAACTACAGATATACCAGTATACCACATATGGTTAAACTACAGATGTAACAGTATACCACATACAGTAAAACTATAGATATAACAGTATAACATATATGGTTAAACTACAGATATAACAGTATACCACATATGTTAAATCTACAGATATAACAGTATACCACATATGGTAAAACTACAGATATAACAGTATACCACATGGTTAAACTACAGATATACCAGTATACCATATATGGTAAAACTACAGATATAACAGTTTACCATATATGGTAAAACTATAGATATAACAGTATACCATATATGGTAAAACTACAGATATACCAGTATACCACATATGGTAAAACTACAGATATAACAGTATACCACATACAGTAAAACTATAGATATAACAGTATAACATATATGGTTAAAATACAGATATAACAGTATACCACATATGTTAAATCTACAGATATACCAGTATACCACATATGGTAAAACTACAGATATACATATGGTAAAACTACAGATATAACAGTATACAGTATACCAAATATGGTAAAACTACAGATATAACAGTATACCGCATATGGTTAAACTACAGATATACCAGTATAACATATATGGTAAAACTACAGATATAACAGTATACCGCATATGGTTAAACTACAGATATACCAGTATACCACATATGGTAAAACTACAGATATACATATGGTAAAACTACAGATATAACAGCATACCATATATGGTAAAACTACAGATATACCAGTATACCACATATTGTAAACTACAGATATAACAGTATACCACATATGGTTAAACTACAGATATACCAGTATAACATATATGGTAAAACTACAGATATAACAGTTTACCATATATGCACTAGACAAACGTCGGAACATAAGAATGGTACACAGAAGACTAAGTCAGATATATGAATGGACAGACAGCGTCACATCTGGTAGTAACCTACACAGGGGTTTGGAGTGACTAACAATGGACAGACCGTGTCACATCTGGTTGTAACCTACACAGGGGTTCGGTGTGACTAACAATGGACAGACAGTGTCACATCTGGTAGTAACCTACACAGGGGTTCGGTGTGACTAACAATGGACAGACAGTGTCACATCTGGTAGTAACCTACACAGGGGTTCGGTGTGACTAACAATGGACAGACAGTGTCACATCTGGTAGTAACCTACACAGGGGTTCGGTGTGACTAACAATGGACAGACAGTGTCACATCTGGTAGTAACCTACACAGGGGTTCGGTGTGACTAACAATGGACAGACAGTGTCACATCTGGTAGTAACCTACACAGGGGTTCGGTGTGACTAACAATGGACAGACAGTGTCACATCTGGTAGTAACCTACACAGGGGTTCGGTGTGACTAACAATGGACAGACAGTGTCACATCTGGTAGTAACCTACACAGGGGTTCGGTGTGACTAACAATGGACAGACAGTGTCACATCTGGTAGTAACCTACACAGGGGTTCGGTGTGACTAACAATGGACAGACAGTGTCACATCTGGTAGTAACCTACACAGGGGTTTGGGGTGACTAACAATGGACAGACAGTGTCACATCTGGTAGTAACCTACACAGGGGTTTGGTGTGACTAACAATGGACAGACAGTGTCACATCTGGTAGTAACCTACACAGGGGTTTGGTGTGACTAACAATGGACAGACAGTGTCACATCTGGTAGTAACCTACACAGGGGTTTGGAGTAACTAACAATGGGACAGGCTTAAAGTAGGTGAATTATCAAACACCACTACTGTTACGAAAGATACCTTGATTTTATGTTGTTCTACTCCTGGACGTTGACAACCATGTCCGGGAATTCCTCTTCCAAAACGTCCTGCGGATCCTGGATCTTTTTTTCCCAGAAGTTTGCCCTGGCAGCGATACATCCTGATCTTATTTTCGGTGTTGTTTTTTTCTCACTAGATGTTGTAACAATGGCATCACTTGATTGGCTAGTTGGGGCAAATGGCGCCATCTTTTTCTGATGGGCTACAGGAGATTGTGTCTTTGGTTGAACTTTGACCTGAGATGTAACAGTTGTTTTGATTGGTGTCTGCTTGGCTACTGAGGCTGGGAAGGTGCCACCTTTTGTTTCTGGAAAAATTTGTGTGGCTTCATCATGAATTGTGATCTTTGGAGTGGGAGCCAGGTTTACGGTTAGGTGACTTTTCTTCTCATGCTGATCCTCTGCTGACTCATCAAAATCAGTCGACGACTTCTTACGAAATCTCTCTAACTTCTCTTTTGGCACGGTCCTGGCAGTAATACTGTGTACCTATTAAAAAGAAACATATAATATATACATCATATTTAAATCCGATAACACTATTCCATCAAAATTTTACACTAAAATTGTTTAACATAGGACAATAAATGTGCATGTTTTTAAATGCTTATAACTATAAATGTATGAATCTATTTCTGGCATTTTCAAAAATGTTGACTATTTTTATTTTATTTAACACATCAGACATGCAATATGACTTTGCACAAATCAAGTATTTGTTGCTGAAAATTTGATCTTGGATCAAAAGTTTGGTATTCAATAGGCTGAAAGTATACTTTAAACCCCACACTTTTAAACAATTAGAGATCATGCACATACAAGTATATTTTATATAGCTCTTCATATGTAAATCAGGAGAAAATCATAACATTACATAATCAATAACTCATTGATCATCAAAGGTACCGCAGTCATAAAAATAAAACTTAAAATGTTTAACAATTAATTTGCTTCTTCATATTTTCACTGAAAAAGAGGTCACAGAATATGTACAGGTAGCATGTATTCAAAAATACATCCGCAGTCGATATCCTGTAAAATTGATATAATGCCATTTATCTATATACAGTAAAACCTTGATATAAAGCCATTTATTTATATACAGTAAACCCTTGATATAATGCCATTTATTTATATACAGTAAAACCTTATTATAAGGTCAGTTAGTTATATACAGCAAAATCTTAATATAATGCCATTATTTATACACAGTAAAACCTTGATATAATGTCTTTTATTTATATACAGCAAAACTGTGATATAAGGTCAGTTATTTATATACAGCAAAATCTTAATATAATGCCATTATTTATACACAGTAAAACCTTGATATAATGTCTTTTATTTATATACAGCAAAACCTTGATTTAATGTCAATTATTTATATACAGTAAAACCTTGATAAAATGTCAATTAATTATATACAGCAAAACCATTATATTATGCCATTTATTTATATACAGTAAAACCTTGATATAATGTCATTTATTTATATACAGCAAAACCTTGATATAATGCCATTTATTTATATACAGTGAAACCTTGATATAAGGTCAGTTATTTATATACAGCAAAATCTTAAAATAATGCCATTATTTATACAAAGTAAAACCTTGATATAATGTCTTTTATTTATATACAGCAAAACCGTGATATAAGGTCAGTTATTTATATACAGCAAAATCTTAATATAATGCCATTATTTATACACAGTAAAACCTTGATATAATGTCATTTATTTATATACAGCAAAACCTTGATTTAATGTCAATTATTTATATACAGTAAAACCTTGATAAAATGTCAATTAATTATATACAGCAAAACCATTATATTATGCCATTTATTTATATACAGTAAAACCTTGATATAATGTCATTTATTTATATACAGCAAAACCTTGATATAATGTCATTTATTTATATACAGCAAAACCTTGATATAATGCCATTTATTTATATACAGTGAAACCTTGATATAAGGTCAGTTATTTATATACAGCAAAATCTTAAAATAATGCCATTTATTTATATACAGGAAAACCTTGATATAATGCCATTTTGTTATAAACAGTAAAACCTTGTCGAAACATTCTCCAATGGCAAATGTTCTCCAGACAACTAACTGCAAAATCAGAGGTTTTTCTTCTGGATTAATCTATGGTAGATTTAGTTGGTGGGAAAATGTCAGTTTTTGCCTACATCATTACAAACTGTTATGTAACAAAAATTGTTCAAAAATAACGATATGTTAAAAAAAAATGTACAGACATTTATCATACCAGACTGGTATTGTCCATCAGGTACATCATGGACGGAACCTAACTACATAGAGGTAAAATTATCATTTCTATAAATACTGATACAGAGTTATGGATTATTTATTAACAAATTGTGACGGTCATGCTTGAACAGTTATAATAAGCTTTGTGATCTATATAATTATCATGGTGATCAGGTAAGGATTAGTAAACAGGTTTAAAATTGTAAATAAAATCCAGCACACATAATGTTTTAAGTTTTGACCCCTTAAACATTATATAATTTGTTAATCTGATCTTAGATGAAAACATTTAAGTACATGTAGACTAAGTGAAAATCAATCAAATTAATACACCCAAGGTAATGAAATTGAAATCATGAAGAAACATGGAATTTTTGTTTCAAAGTTTCCCCTACAGAAATGTATCAGTGAAATTTTCTAAAGTTTAAAAGTAAAAATTAATAAAAACCTACTCTCAGAATTATCATCAGAATGAAATTTTCAGAGAAGATATTCAAGAATTTGAAGAAAGAAATCTACAAAAACAGATACCATTTTTGTTTTCTCCTGCTGACCGAAAAAAGAAGAAGAAGAGTATTGGAAGAAAAATAAAAATAAAATAACCCAGAAACTTTTGAACCAAATTGACCGATCCATAAATATTTCAAAGTCAGATTTTATTCTTTCTGTTAATTATTAATATGTTAGATATTGTATTTGTAAATGTGTGTTTCCCTTGAAATGTAATCAGAGTTAATTTTTTATATTAACAATCCTGACTCCAATTTCATGATCTTTGCTTTAATTCAAAGAAATAAGTCATAATTTTTCACAGGAAAACAGATAACACAGCAAAAATATCCTTAAAATTTTTCTTAATTCAAATGATAAAAAAACAGTTAGTAAATTTCTTTAAGTTAAGAAATATTTTTGAGACAGGGGCCAGTATTAATCCTTTGTCTACTTTAAAGAGATTTATGTTAAAAGTTATCTCCCTTATAATCAGTTCAATAAGCAAAAGAGTCAAATACGTTTATAGTGAATCCCCGGGCCTGAGGGGACCTATACCTCTATCGGTCAACTCTACAGAAAACATGTTTATACTGAACCCCGAGGGACCTATACCTCTATTGGTCAACTCTACAGAATCCATGTTTATACTGACCCCCGGGGGACCTATACCTCTATTGGTCAATTCTACAGAAAACATGTTTATACTGAACCCCGAGGGACCTATACCTTTTTTGGTTAACTCTACAGAATCCATGTTTATACTGACCCCCGGGGGACCTATACCTCTATTGGTCAATTCTACAGAAAACATGTTTATACTGAACCCCAGAGAACCTATACCTCTATTGGTCAACTCTACATAAACAATGTTTATACTGAACCTCGGGGGACCTATACCTCTATTGGTCAATTCTACAGAAAACATGTTTATACTGAACCCCGAGGGACCTATACCTCTATTGGTCAACTCTACATAAACAATGTTTATACTGAACCTCGGGGGAGCTATACCTCTATTGGTCAACTCTACAGAACTCATGTTTATACTGAACCTCAGGGGACCTATACCTCTATTGGTCAACTCTACAGAAAACATGTTTATAGTGAACCCCGAGGGACCTATACCTCTATTGGTCAACTCTACATAAACAATGTTTATACTGAACCTCGGGGGACCTATACCTCTATTGGTCAACTCTACATAAACAATGTTTATACTGAACCTCGGGGGACCTATACCTCTATTGGTCAATTCTACAGAAAACATGTTTATACTGAACCCCAGGGGACCTATACCTCTATTAGTCAACTCTACAGAAACCATGTTTATACTGAACCCCAGGCGACTTATACCTCTATTGGTCAACTCTACATAAACAATGTTTATACTGAACCTCGGGGGACCTATACCTCTATTGGTCAATTCTACAGAAAACATGTTTATACTGAACCCCGAGGGACCTATACCTCTATTGGTCAACTCTACAGAAACAATGTTTATACTTAACCGCGGGGGACCTATATACCTCTATTGGTCAACTCTACAGAAAACATGTTTATACTGAACCCCAGGGGACCTATACCTATATTGGTCAACTTTACAGAAACCATGTTTATACTGAACCCCAGGGGACTTATTCCTCTATTGGTCAACTCTACAGAAACAATGTTTATACTGAACCGCGGGGGACCTATACCTCTATTGGTCAACTCTACAGAAACCATGTTTATACCGAACCCCAGGGGACCTGTACCTCTATTGGTCAACACTACAGAAACCATGTTTATACTGAACCCCAGGGGGCTTATACCTCTATTGGTCAACTCTACAGAAACAATGTTTATACTGAACCTCGGGGGACCTATCCCTCTATTGGTCAACTCTACAGAAACCATGTTTATATTGAACCCACGGGGACCTATACCTATATTGGTCAACTCTACAGAAACCATGTTTATACTGAACCCCAGGGGACCTATACCTATATTGGTCAACTCCTCAGAAACCATGTTTATACTGAACCCCAGGGGACCTAGACAATTACAAGTTCTCTATAAGTTAATATACAACATGTTTATAACAAAACACAGGGCACCTACAGTTGTAGAAAAGCAGTTCTCTGCAAGTGAAAAAACCCCATTTACAATGAACCCCAGGTGACCCCGGAAATTAGGCCTTGACAGTAAAACATGTTTATAACGAGCACCACAGGGGTTAAAAACCAACTTATCTAAAAAAAAACACCAGATTTATATACAACCCTTGGGATCTAAACAATCAGAAAACCTCAACAGACCTAGGAAACTGGTTCTCAAAAATCTCTAAAGGCTAGAGGTATTCATATCATGTATATATATATATAAATATATTCTAAATATTATGGGTAATATGAGAGGAATTCTGCTTATAGTGATTGCTGTATAAAACCAAAAACTATTACAGAGCTAATATTATATGCTAGCTAGCGATGATAAACTACATAGAATTATCTAAATATGAATTATCGCTCAGTAGGATTAATTTGCTAGTGAGGAACACACAGAGAGATTAAAACCCTCGACTTTGTAATTACTTACCGCGTCAGTAGCAACACCCTGTAGTGGTTTATAACATAGGTACAAATTAGCCTACTTTCATTTTTCAGTTGTAATGTATTACTTCAAACAAGAGGCCCAGAGGGCCTGTATCGCTCACCTGAATACTTAAGCAGTCATAGCAAAATATTCTCATTAAATTTTATACTGTACTACAAATAGTTCACTCACTAACTATGTCGACTCCATCAGTTGAAACTACCAGCCAAATATTATTATATGATTTTATGTTTTTTGATTCTTCTTCTGAAGTTGTTTGAAGTGTTTGGCATATTTTCCTCTGTGGCCTTGTAAGTAGACAAATCTTATGAATTCATTCCTTTTGGTACTTCAGAACAAATTATTTGAAATGTTGTTGACCTCTGTGACCTTTAAAGTAGGTTAATGTCATTTTCATTTGCAAACTTTGGTGAGCTCTATCCCAGGAAGCCACCAGCCAAACTTTGGTGAGTTCTATGCCAAGAAGCCACCAGCCAAACTTTGGTGAGCTCTACCCCAGGAAACCACCAGCCAAACTTTGGTGAGCTCTATCCAAGGAAACCACCGACCAAACTTTGGTGAGCTCTATCCAATTGAGCCAGCAGCCAAACATTGGTGAGCTCTATCCAAGGAAGCCACCAGCCAAACTTTGGTGAGCTCTATCCCAGGAAACCACCAGCCAAACTTTGGTGAGCTCTATCCAAGGAAACCCCCGACCAAACTTTGGTGAGCTCTATCCAATTAAGCCACCAGCCAAACATTGGTGAGCTCTATCCAAGGAAGCCACCAGCCAAACTTTGGTGAGTTCTATCCCAAGAAGCCACCAGCCAAACTTTGGTGAGTTCTATCCCAGGAAGCCACCAGCCAAACTTTGGTGAGCTCTATCCCAGGAAGCCACCAGCCACAAATGAAGATTCTTTACCTTTCAGTTATTCAGAAAAAGGTATTTGAAGTGTTTGACATATTTGACTCCTATGATATTGAAAGAAGGTCAAGGTAATTTTCATTCTCAAACTTTGACGGGTTCTTTCCAAGGAAGCCACCAGTCAAATATGAAGTTTATACCTTTTTTTTCTTCAGAAGATGTTTGAAGCATTCGACATATTTGACCACTGTGACCTTGAAAGTAGGTCAAGGTCATTTTCATTCTCGAACTTTGTCATGCTCGTTACCAGGAAGCCACCAACCAAATATGAAGGTTCTACACCTTTCAGTTATTCAGAAGAAGTCGTTTCAAGTGTTTTACACATTTTACCTCAGTGACCTTGAAAGTAGGTCAAGGTCATTTTCGTTCTCAAACTTTGTCGGGCTCCTATCAATGAAGCTTTCTGCCACATATCATGACTTTAGGCCTATCCGTTCTTCAGAACAAGTTGTTTAAAGGAAAAGTTGACGGACGACAACGGACGAAAGACGGAAGACGGACGCCGCACCATGACATATGCTCACTTGCCCTTTGGGCAGGTGAGCTAACAAAACAATCATGTCACTTTCAATTTCCAATTATTATGCATTACTCAGAGCAAGGTCAAAGTGCATTGTACTTTTGATTTTCAATCATAAAGTATTAATTTTTGTTTACAGAATAATTAGTGCTTTGCACTACACTGAATCAACCAATTTCATACGAATGCTTATTTCTAGTCTTAGAATAAGACAAAATAAATAAGACTTAACAAATCTGTAAATTAAACAGTTTGGCATTATATTAAAAAAATCCCCAACAGAAATCAAACCTGTATACAGTATAAAGTTATTTTACAGGCAAACATTCACACCTGGTCGTCATATAGAGTTGTATTACATAGCAAAGTTTAGTGAATGGTTCTTTCAAATTATAGTTAGCAAAGAAATGAAAAGTAGTTGTAAGTCTTTATATCTGAAATTAATCCACTGAAATGCAAGATTATAAATATCTTTATATACTGCGCAGTATCGTGCGAGTTAAGGCTAGTCCTCTGTAAAAAATATGTACATTTTCAATTTCTAGCTGTAGTGTAAACAAAACTACCGTAGATCCGGCTACACTATAAGTGTATGTACACTGTGTTGTTTTACATGTGCAAAATAACGATCATATTGACAAACCAATTAGGCGACACTTTGTTCAATACCTCATAATAGATGTGTGAGGGTCTATGAGCCCACTCATCTCAGTTCATATAATTATATACCTCCTATACACTGCTTTGCCTGTGACCTTTTATTCACAGACTTTTGTTTCCTTCATATCTGTTTCCTAGCATATTTTTTTCCAAATTACCAATGTAGTTAAAAAACATATAAAAGTCAGTTTTTCCAAAATTTGAATATTTGTATGTATTTTTTTTTGGCATTTTTGTCATTCTCATAGAAGTCCAGCAAGGTATGGTTTTCTTGTGAGAAATGATTTAACAAAGCTGGAGAAAATACTTTCGAATACTTAGTTACAGTTTTTGGTTCCAAGATCCTTAACAACACATTTCAATTACAGACAGTTTAAACACACTCATTGTTAGTCTGGTTTCTATGACAATTACAACCAAGTTGTAATATATATATATATGCACCTGTTCAAGTGTTTACAGGTAGATCTTTGAAAATGTCTTTTGTCTTCAAAAAACATCACAGTTAATCATTTTTATACAATAAAATTATCTTATAGTAGTGGTTGTATCTTTGGGATCATTAGTAAAACAAATCTACAATAAGTTACTATACAGTCAAATTGTACCTATTTCAGTCAGTCAATATTCAGTTTAACAATTGAACGCTTTCAACAACAAAAATTGTCTGTTTTTAATCAATGTTTTATCAGATTAATATTGAAAAAGAAACACGTCTGTTTAGTCCTGTTAAATATTATAAAATCTGTATTTTTCAAGAGAAATACATATTCCTGTTATCATGACTTTTTCCTATTGTGGTATAGAATACAATTGAAAAAAACCCAAAACATTGTATCAGAGTTTGTTTTTTCTTCAAACAGTATCTAAAAAAGGTCTTCTCAGATTGGTATTTCCAGAGTCATTGTAATTGAAATATATCAGCTCAGTCTTCATTGTGATGTGTTTTACTCTGAGAAATAGATTACTCATTTGACTATATATAGCTATCTACTGATTAAGGCAAAGAGCAGGTGTCAATCAAAGTTTCAGAGGCGTGTCTTAGTTAGCCTTACGTAACACCAACAACCATGCACCACTACACCATTACGCCAGTCAAGCGTATCCAAAAAATAAAACTCAAAGGTAGCTAACCCTTTTAATCGACGATTCATCTCCTGGATCACTGAACATGGCCTTCAGTCGATTAACTGACGGAAGCTCCTTGATTCCAGAATCCTCGTTTAGCTCTGTCCGACTTTCTGGAAGTTCTGCTTCACTCGTTTGACCGATTATGGTGGTAGGAAGAGCGCGTAATTTAATCTGGCTCACTGAAGATTCAATGGAGGACACCTAGTGGAAAGAAAGATTTAATAAAATTACAAATGAAACTTATAACCATATACATTACAGTACTGTAATCTGTCAGAATGAACAATGATAACATACTATCAGGTTTCTGCATAATAAATGATGTCAAAATATTTGATTTTTTTTTACACAATAACGCAAAGAACAAATTCTTGCAAAATCATCTATAAATCATCGTAATGCGCATCTTTAATAAAACATTTACAATAAACAAAGACTGAGGATAGCCCCTTGACTTACTCCCACAATTGTCTACAATAAACAAAACCTAAGGATAGCCCCTTGACTTACTCCCACCATTATCTACAATAAACAAAGACTGAGGATAGCCCCTTACCTTACTCCTACCATTGTTTACAATAAACAAAGAACGAGGATAGCCCCTTGACTTACACCCACCATTGTTTACAATAAACAAAGAACGAGGATAGCCCCTTGACTTACACCCACCATTGTTTACAATAAACAAAGTCTGAGGATAGCCCCTTGACTTACTCCCCCCATTGTCTACAATAAACAAAGACTGAGGATAGCCCCTTAACTTACTCCTACCATTGTTTACAATAAACAAAGACCGAGGATAGCCCCTTGACTTACTCCCACAATTGTTTACAATAAACAAAGAACGAGGATAGCCCCTTGACTTACTCCCTCAATTGTCTACAATAAACAAAACCTAAGGATAGCCCCTTGTCTTCCTCCCACCATTATCTACAATAAACAAAGACTGAGGATAGCTCCTTGACTTACTCCCACCATTGCTTACAATAAACAAAGACTGAGGGTACCCCCTTACCTTACTCCTATCATTGTTTACAATAACCAAAGACTGAGGATAGCCCCTTGCCTTTCTCCCACCATTGTTTACAATAATCAAAGACTGAGGATAGCCCCTTAACTTACTCCTACCATTGTTTACAATAAACAAAGACTGAGGATAGCCCCCTGCCTTACTCCCACAATTGTCTACAATAAACAAAACCTAAGGATAGCCCCTTGACTTCCTCCCACCATTGTCTACAATAAACAAAGACTGAGGATAGCCCCCTGCCTTACTCCCACAATTGTCTACAATAAACAAAACCTAAGGATAGCCCCTTGTCTTCCTCCCACCATTATCTACAATAAACAAAGACTGAGGGTACCCCCTTACCTTACTCCTATCATTGTTTATAATAAACAAAGACTGAGGATAGCTCCTTGACTTACTCCCACCATTGTTTGCAATAAACAAAGACTGAGGATAGCCCCCTGCCTTACTCCCACAATTGTCTACAATAAACAAAACCTAAGGATAGCCCCTTGACTTCCTCCCACCATTATCTACAATAAACAAAGACTGAGGATAGCCCCCTGCCTTACTCCCACAATTGTCTACAATAAACAAAACCTAAGGATAGCCCCTTGTCTTCCTCCCACCATTATCTACAATAAACAAAGACTGAGGGTACCCCCTTACCTTACTCCTATCATTGTTTACAATAACCAAAGACTGAGGATAGCCCCTTCACTTACTCCTATCATTGTTTACAATAAACAAAGACTGAGGGTACCCCCTTACCTTACTCCTATCATTGTTTACAATAAACAAAGACCGAGGATAGCCCCTTGACTTACACCCACCATTGTTTACAATAAACAAAGTCTGAGGATAGCCCCTTGACTTCCTCCCACCATTATCTACAATAAACAAAGACTGAGGATAGCTCCTTGACTTACTCCCACCATTATCTACAATAAACAAAGACTGAGGATAGCTCCTTGACTTACTCCCACCATTGCTTACAATAAACAAAGACTGAGGGTACCCCCTTACCTTACTCCTATCATTGTTTATAATAAACAAAGACTGAGGATAGCTCCTTGACTTACTCCCACCATTATCTACAATAAACAAAGACTGAGGATAGCTCCTTGACTTACTCCCACCATTGCTTACAATAAACAAAGACTGAGGATAGCTCCTTGACTTACTCCCACCATTATCTACAATAAACAAAGACTGAGGATAGCTCCTTGACTTACTCCCACCATTATCTACAATAAACAAAGACTGAGGGTACCCCCTTACCTTACTCCTATCATTGTTTACAATAAACAAAGACTGAGGATAGCCCCTTGACTTACTCCTACCACTGAATCTAAAGGATTTCTGGTTAAAGCTACAGACCAGACCACATAGTAAGTTAGTGTAAATATACTATTGGCTGAAAGAATCTATAAAAAATCATTTCCTTCAATATTTTACATATCTACCAAAAATATTCCTAAAACTAATGGTCATTTGAACATAACATTATAAATCTCTTGTCAATATTAATCTCACACCAAACACAATTCCTGCAGTACCTTAATTATATAAAGAATTTTCTGTAAATGAAGCTTTTAAGCAATAAAAAAGCAATTAAATAATAATTACTGTCAATAGCAGAAAAGCAGGCTAATATATAAATAAAGCAACATAATTTTTTTTATTATTATACAAAAGACAGAGATCTTGTATAGATGTCAACCGTTTATGTAACCTGTCTACACTGAACCCTGTT